TGGAGTCCTTGGGGTTCTCTGATCTTGTTTTTTTTCTTGAAAACGTTTCATTCCCCGGCTAGGTAACATCTTAGGTGCCTAGCCGGGTAATGAAACGTTTGCAAGAAAAGAACCAAGCTCAGAGAACCCCAAGGACTCCAAAAGTCAATATTCCAAATTTATCTGGACCCTTAATCCATTTACAACTTTCTTAGATCAAAATCTTATTTAGCTTTTTGCTGTTTATTTCAAACTCTTTAAGTTCTTAAGCTTATAATTAATTTTTATTTTGTTCAGAGTTGAAGATAAACTCATCCGATGAAGGCTTTTCAAACTTGTCATTATGAAGGTCTTTAATAGCTTTAAGATGGTTAATAGGCAATTTCTGAAAGTGATTAGAGGTTTGCAAACTTAGTGTCCTTTAAAAGGCTCTGCAGTTGCAAGCAAGATGACTGATCCTTTCATCTCCCAGCACTCAGACCTGCAGAAAACCACTGTCCTGCAGTCTCCTCATGAGGAACAGCCATCTGGAGCACATGTGGGTGATTTCTCATCCTCTCCTTATCTGGAGAGGTTCCAAGGAACCAGTCTACTCACCAGTTCCTCGGTCTTTGCCAGGATCATCGGCTCCGCTTTCACAGAAACATCTTCAGTTTGCCATATCTCCCCCAGAGGTCTGGAAGAAAAAGTATTTGAAAGTGGTCCATAGGAAGGATCAGGAGGAGATCTACTGAAATGGGGCCTAACGCAAAGTGAACCCATAGACTAGGAAATGAAGTGAAACATTTTGTGGCATTTTCTTCTCTAATTACAAACCTGAATGTTCAAGTACTACAAAACATTCAGGTACCAAGCCGAAAAACTGTTAGTAGTGCAATATATTACAGCAGGGAAAGGCTAAGAAAAATCCTTTCGAGGCCCAGCATGACTACACATCAATAACATTTACATTTTTTAAAAAATCAGCATTGACTCCAGTATTGATAACTCAGCAAAAGATCACCATAAAAAAAGGAAGCAGGTACTGTTGTTGAAAGAGCATCATTGTTCCTTGTACAATGATTTTGAATGATGACATAAAGGGGAGCCAGCGATGCTTTTGTTTTGAAAGGGTGAGTTATGCTGCTGCCATTTAACAGGGAAACAAACATTCCAAAAAGATTGAGGTTAAAAGAGTGTTTGTGCAGACTGGCCAATTAGCAGTTTCACACTTGAGGGGGAAATTGTTGGATCAATAAAATAGAATTTTCCCTGAAAGGCAGTCAAGTTAAGTGACAAAACAATACATGTGTATAATGTGGCAACTCCTGCCAAAAAGATACACAAGATAACGGCTTTCAAACCTCCCTCAGCAAATCCATCAGGCCATAAATGAGGCACTTACCCAAATGTACCCAAGCAATTCATTATCCCTTGTTAAGAGCTCTCCAGCACACATTCCTCCCAACTGCTGGAGTTTCAGGAGAAGAAAAGGAGGATAAAAAGCCACCAAATGAATTGGTGGTTTGGGCTGGACCGGTGATACGTAGCCTGCCTCTCTGCTTTGCTCACCATCCATTGATCTGCTTACACTTTCTTCACCTATCCCCTTGGAAAGGGCTGACTAATGTCAAGGAATGGGGAGAAAGTGTCCGTGGAAAAGGAAAGCCAGTCCAGGGTCTAAAGCTCAGATCCTATTCGGCAGGAAGCCAGGCGGAACTCCCTCTGTGTAGGTGCTCTGAGATCCACGTTCTCATCTTCTGTCCCACATCTCCTTCTCTTCCTTGTTGCTTTGCCTCTCTCTAGTTCTTCATGTTTTTAAGTATCTTCACTACAAGCACTGAAACTCACTCAGACTTCCAACATCCTTTTTTCTTTTCTTGTATGTGTCACATTTCTATAGACACAAACACTATAGGACACTCAGCCCTGGCATCTAAGTCTGATGCTATCCGATTGTCTGAATAGGTTTAGCAAATGGCTGCTATTTTTTAAAATAACACACTCATAAAGATATATGCCCATGCAAAGACTTTATTTATTTATTTATTTATTTATTTAACAAATTTATATAGCCACCCATCCCTCGATGGAACACTAGGTAGTGAACAAGAAATAAAACATAATACATAATCAAATCAATTAAAAGAACCAAGTTAAGACCACTGTAAAAACACCATAACAACACGTCCCACATTGCATTATGGTCTCTGGTATGAGTCCTGAGTATCCAAAAGACTCAGGACTCATAGCAGAGACTGTAATGCAGCATCTAGAAACTATAGCACCCCCACACATACAACCAAAAGTATGGATCCGGTATGTAGACAGCACCTTTGCCATAAAAAAAGGAACAACTAGAGAAGATACATGAGACAATCCACAACATCCTCAAAGGAATAAAATTCACCAGAGAGGAAGAAAACAACACCACGCTACCCTTCCAAAATATCCTCATCAGCAGAGGAAATTACAGCAAATTAGAAACCCAAGTCTGTCTATCGGAAAACAACTCACACTAACCAAGTGCTCCACCACCAAAGTAACAACCCAACCTCCCACAAGAGGAGCTGTGTAAGGACATTATTCAGATGAGCACAACACCCTGCAGCAACCCAGAACAGCAGAAAAAGGAAACAGACCACCTATACAACATCTTCCAACAAAATGGATACCCACACAACTTTATCAAAAAGTGGCTGACCACTCAACCCACTATAGCACAACCAACACAAGCTATGAAAAGGATAACACTAGCATACATCAGAAATAACTGACTATTACAACCACATGGCATCACCATAGCACACAAACCAACTAAAGCCCTCCAAAACATCTTAAGTAAACCAAAAGACCCAGTAGCCCAAGAAGAAAAAATAGGAGTCATCTACAAAATAGAGCGTAAGGACTGTAACAGCCACTATATATGACAGACAGGCAGAAGACTAGTAGAGCACATCTATGAACACCAACTAGCAGTCAGAAGACACAATGAAAATTCCTTAATCTCACAACACATGGACAGACTCAACCATAGTTTCAGTTGGAAAACTGTGAGCATCCTAGACCAAGCTAAATCCAAAAATGCTAGGGAATTCCTGGAAGTTTGGCATTCAGACAAATCAGCCATCAATAGACATG